GAGAAGCTCTGATCTATGTTAGATCAGAGCTTCTCCAGTTTTCAGTCTAACTGGAGAAGGTCCAGTTAGTCCCAGTAGTAACTGAGCCCAGAGCTACAGGAGAGAAACAGGACTAAACACTGGAAACCATCTTGGTTCTGGTCCAGTTCAATCCTGTTCCTAAACGGGTTTATCGCGTTCTGGTCCTCCAGCGGGTCAGAAACGGCGGCGGAGCCTCACCTGCATCGTGCGAGGCCAGCGCCCGCAGCATCTTGCCGGCGCTGCGGCGGGTCTGCGTCTCCTTGTTGCAGAGCAGCTCCATGAGCAGGTTGAGGGCGCCGGTCTCCTTGAAGACGCCGACCAGCGAGCCGATGCTGGCGTAGGCGCTCAGGACGTGGATGGTGTGCATGATGTTCATGGAGAAGTCCCTCTTCTTGGCCATCTGCTTCCGGGCGCGGCACACCAGGTTCTTCACGTCCTGCTTCATGTCAGACAGCTCCACCTCATCAAAGGTGCCGTCGGCCGGGAACTCGGCGCCGCCCTGTGCCGCCCGGTCCGGCGCCTGCTCCTGCGGGGGGCGCTGTGGGTCGGCCTTCCTCTTGCCCAGCAGCGTGGGGCAGTTGGCGTACACGTCCTCCATCGTCATCCACATCAGGATGTTCTCAGGTTTGGCTTCTCCAGACGTGGACCCGCCGGTGCCGCCCACGCCGGAACCCCCGCCGCCGGCGCCACTCGCCTCGCTGGACCCGCCCCCAGAGCCGGTCCCGTCGTCGATGGAGACGAGGCACCAGCGGATCAGGCACTCCATCTGACCGTCGTGGGTTCGGCGCTGGCGGATCAGTTCCTCTGGGTACGCCTGCAGCTTGGGGTCCAGCTGGACCAGCAGGTTCCCGTTGCGGCGCTCTCCCACCATGGTTGCTATGGAAACCAGAACAAGGCCAGAGTCAATTCAACGAGCGAATAAAGACGAACACCTGATAAAAGCAGCAAGCAAAGTAGTTCAGTCAGTTCAACAGTTGAACTCCAACAGTTAAAGCAGCTCTAAACTAACTAAACTAGTTAGCTGACCAACTAAACTAACTAACCAACCAACTTACAAACTAAACTAACTAACCAACTAAACTAACTGTGAGTCCAGAGACTCAGGCTTTCAGCTCTTTTCCAGTCTGCTGGGAGTTTGTTCCAGATCCGTGGAGCATAGATGCTGCTTCTCCATGTCTGGTTCTAGTTCTGGGTGGAACTAGAGTGGTCTAGAAGGTAGATCCACTGACACCAGATCAGTTATGGATTGAGAAGCTGATCTATCCACTGATTTCTAGACTAACAGAAGGATTTTATGGTGGAAGGACTTCAGCTGAACCTGGTGTCTGCTGACATGTAGCGGTCCCAGTCCTCCCAGTAAGACTAAACCGGTCCTGCTGCAGTACCAGAACCAGAACCGGTCCTGCTCCTCCAGACCCAATCAGAACTCTACCCTTCCTCAGGAGTTGATCCTGGTTCTGAAGACCCATCAGGTTCTGATGGGTCCAGACTGGAAGCTGCTCCTTTATGGAACTGACCAATCAGGAAGGAGCTACAGAGGACGCTGACTGTTAACTGGTTCCAGCCCCACAGGCGGTCCGGTCCTTCAGAACCGCTGACCCAATGCTCTGTGTTGCCACAGAACCCGTCCAGCTGGGACTTACAACAAGTTCTGATCCAAACCGGTTCTGACCGGATGCACCTCTGGGTTCAGGTATTGTCCTGTGACGTCAGGGTTAGTAGTGCTTGCGTCAGAACTTCAGTTGGGTCACAGCAGATAGTGGAAGTCCAGGATGTTCTGGAGAACCGGTCCAGATGCGGTTGGACCCGCTGGAAGAGCCGGACACGGTTCCGATAAACGGTTTAGGCCGAACCTTAGCAGCGGTTCGGGCCCGGTGGTTCCGGTTTACCTGCTGAGTCCCGCAGCTGCAGCCGCGCGCGCTCTTTCCGCTTCCGCTTTAATGCGCTGCTTTCCAGCCTGGTTCCGAAGGTTCTGTTGCTTCTGTCCCGGTTCTGCCGCAGTTCCGATCCGTTTGATGCGCACTGTCACTCCGGGGAGCGCGCTTCCGCCTCCGCGCGTCACTTCCGGCTGGCTGGCAGCGAACAGCGCCCCCTGTGTCCGGAGGACCGGTTCGGTCTAGTTCAGCCTTATAGATTCAAACATAACTTTAGTCCCCATAATGTTCCTTTGTGGAATAACAGAGTTATTTATATTCTGTGTTTATGGAAAACTGGATGGAGAAGGGACTATGGCAATACATGTGCAGACTTAATTCATAAGTATAATCTAATCTGTACAAAAAATGATTATGAAAAATGACGAAAACAATACCAAATGTATTTATTCAGCTCATAAAAAACAATTATGATACAAAGCAAGTGATTAAATTACAGAATATTGTAATAAATGGTTTAGATTTACTAGACAAAAAATTGAATAATAAGTTTCTAAGACAACATTTAGTAAAACAGACAAACCCTGGACTGGTTAGAAGGACATTTATTGATAACTATGAAAAGAAACACCAAATAAATTTAATGTCAAAGTTCTTAAAATTTGAACTCCCACCAAAATATAAAGAAATACATTTCAAAACTCTACATGATATTTAACCCTCAAATAGATTAAAAACTGAATGTGGTAACTGCTATATGTTTAACGAAAGCGAAACAACAGAACATCTTTTCTTTCTCTGTCAATCTATCAAAAAACAATGGAAATCTTTGAACTTTACTGACTAGTAAACTCATAAACATGGCCTCCTTCTCATCACAAACTGTCTTATATGGTTTTTATCTGAAAACATAGGAGCTAAAGCTAAGCCAATTTGGTCTGTATTTGAACAGGAGATCTATTTTCTAAATCTTTCCTCTGACAAAAAAAGAGTGGGGTGGCGAGGGGTGCTGGTGTCTATCTCCAGCAGTCAATGAGAGGCGGGGTCCACCCTGGACAGGTCGCCAGTCCATCGCACGGCAATAATCTTTTATTGTAATACGGTTATATTCGATGTAGGTAATTATATATATCCTTGATTTTAGATTTTTTTCTGTTCTGTTTACATCGCAACTTAAAAGAAAAGAAAAAAAATATTAAGAAAAGTGTTAGGAGGTATGATTGACTATATGTTGTGCTTGATTATACTGTATTAATTGAGTTTGTCATCTTTACTGTTCCAAATAATTTATTTTATTAAATTAATTTATTGATTTTTATTTATTTTTTTTGTTTATTTCACAGATGAAATGTTCTAAAGGAGGAAATGTGAAAACAACACTTTTTATCTCTGCAGGTTTTCCTTTAGTGACCCGATAATAAGACATTAACAGGAAATAAAATAATAAAAGTAAATCTTTGAAGTGGGTTATAATTAATTTTATTCTAAATGACTTTATTCTTCTGCCTTCATTAAATAATTATCCAGCTTTAACCATCCATTCGTCATCTGACATGCTTGTCCCAAGTTGGGTCACGAGGGGGGCTGGTGTCTATCTCCAGCTGTCAATGGGTGAGAGGCGGGGTCCACCCTGGACAGGTCTCCAGTCCATCACAGGGCAACACGGAGACAAACAACCATTCACACCTAAGGAGAAGTTAGAGAAGCCAATTAACCTAACAGTCATGTTTTTGGACTGTGGGAGGAAGCTGGTGTACCCAGAGAGAACCCACACATGCTCAGAGAGAACACGGAGACTCCATGCAGAAAGACCCTGGGCCGGGAATCAAACCTGGAACCTTCTTGCTGCAAGGCATCAGTGCTACCCATTGCTCTACTGAGCAGCCATCCAGCTTTAACATCAGCCCATAAATAAAATCCTTTCTGTTACTTTATTAAACCAACCTTTCCTGATATCGTTGAATTATTGGATTTCAAGTCTAACAGAAGCAGTTCTGTTTCCACATTATAAAAATGACACCAATCCTTTCAGCCGTTCATAACCCTAACCCTAAATGACCTCATCCTTTCATCCATTCATAACCCTAACCCTAAATGACCTCATCCTTTCATCCATTCATAGCCCTAACCCTAAATCACCTCATCCTTTCATCCATTCATAAC